CTTTTGGGATGATGAATATATTTTAGAAACAGAGGTGAGGATTGTACAAATCTGTGAACGTATTAAAGGCCATCGAATTTTATATGCTGGTTAAAATGGTGAATTTCTATTAACATGAAATTTACCTCAATAAGACAAATCATGCTTAAATACCAAGTAACACTAAATTAATGTTCTTCCAAGTTTAATAATTTGCTTTCTTTTGAAGCTGTTTGTAATTTATTTTAAATTCTTTATTATTTCATCTGCTGATACTTCATTTTACAATGAAAATGTGTGTTACTTACAGTTTTTTCATTTCTTTTTAAACTTTTTTTACTCTCTTTTTTCACTGAAGTATAAGTGACCTAGAATATTACATTATTCTGTGTACAACATAAAACATTCAAGTGTTAACAAAACAATGAATGATTCAATATTATTATACATTACAAATTGATCACAACAAGTCTAGTTACCATCTGTCTCCATACAATATTGTTCACTATGCTGCCTGTACTGTAATTACATCCCTTTGACCTATTTATTTTATAACTGGAAGTCTGCACCTCTTAATCCACTTCACATATTTTGCACTTAACTTTTTATTTTAATTTGTTTATGAGATTAACACTAAGATGCCAGCATGATCACTTGGCTCTAGTGGGATTGGAAGGGGAATGAGGCAGGGGAGGGACAGAGCAGGAGCCTGGGGGCAGTCCCAGGTACTTACCTGAACCTGTAGGTGAACTGAAGGTCAGTGGCCCATTGGGCAGGGCTTTGCTCAGCCCTCTCAGGACATCCTCCAGGCCAAAGAGCAGGTTAGTGGCCACAAAGTGCTGCTCTGATCGGGGCAGGGTTTCTAGATCCCTAGGGCTCTCCAGCAGATCACCCACCTCCTGGATGAGGTCCTGGGAGGGGAAAGGCAGGGACAGAGAGCCAGTAGGCCATGTGCCAGAGACGCTGCATGAAGGCATTACCCACTCAGCCACAGAAAACAGAGCCAAGAGACTGTTTGGGTAATACAGGTGGTAGCAGGTGGGATTCCCTGGGTGGTCTTTGCCCCTGGAATCCAGCCACTCAGAGTTCAACCCTGTTCATCAATGTCAAGGATGACATAAACCAGGAATATATGCAGGAATAGCAAGAGGAAAGGTCATTAGTTGGTGCAAGTGGGTGTCTACCAGTGAGTACAAATTCCTGCTTCTCCACTCTTCCCACCCACCCTCGGAGAGGCGGGTCCTCGGAACAGTGCACCATTGGGTTGGGATCTGTCTCTTCCCAGACCAAAGCTTCCCCAGACCTCTATGCGATGCTTCCACCTTGCCTCATCTGGGTCCTGCCCTTACCTGAATAGTGTTCTGCACAGAGGCTGGACTGAAGTTTTCGCTCAGATCCTGAATTCTTTTAAAGAAGTGGGAGAGCCTCTGGGGAGAAGGAACACGAGGGAGTCAGGGAGCCTCAGACGTGGGTGGGAGAGCTTGGGAGAAATGCGGGGTGGGAGAGGGTGCAGAAGAATTTCCTGCCTCCAGGTCCCGCTGGGGCCACTCACCTGGCTCTTGATTCCAGGGGGTGCGGTCCAGGTGGCGAAGATCTCTGCAGGGGAGAGGACAGCGGTTCATTGGTTGTGAGAGCGTCTGTGTTTGTTGTGGGCGGGGTCTCGGGTCAGGTGAGGACAGGTACCTTCACAGACGGTCGTCACTTGCTTATCTTGGAATCCGGCTTTGGGCAACCAGCCTCGGCGGCAGTGGCACGTGTATGAACCCACCGTGTTGCTGCAGATGGTGGAGCTGTGGCACTGATGCTGCCCGGAGCTGCACTCGTCCACATCTGGGAACACGAAGAAGGGGGTCAGGCTCTGTCCCAGCCCTGATGAGGCCCCTCTGCTCTCTGTGCCCCAACTCCCTTTTCCCATATGAGCGTCCCCTCAGCACTGAGGAGGGGATGGCACCTGTGACCGCACATCACTGAGTGGTGGACACAGTTCTGACACAAAGCAGGTGAGCCCTGTACAGGGTTGTGAAACTACTGAAATTTCTTCATCCCAGTTAGTAATTAGTTGCTGCCTGGGTTTCCCGGGAGCCTTCCCCTTGGTACCCCGGCTCCTTCCCCAGGACCCCTCAGATCTTTTCACATTAAGCCTCAAAAGAACGCCTGGCACAGCAGGGCCTCCCCCAGCGTTCATTCTGCTTGGTTTGTGTGGGGCCGCTGAACGC